TTGCCTATGCATGTTCATTCATGTCTTTTTTTTTTTTCTTTTTAATTGAGTCCCGATGTCCTGTACCGAGGACATAGCATAACTTAAGAATGAAATATAATTTTTTACATTTTTTTTTTTTAACATTTTTTTTATGCTCTAAAAACAATGTAAAGACATGAAAAAAACTATTTTTTTCCTAAAAATCTTTTCTCTGGTCTTAAGAGGTTAAGTATTATGAATATTTGATTGTTTAAATTTGCTCTTATGCCAATTATGTTTATATAAAGTATTATAATTTACAGTGTGTATAGAAAAGAATCCCCCCCCCCCCCTTAAAATAATCACATTTTGTTGCTTTGCAGCCTGAAATGAATACGGTCTCCAGCTGTATTTACTCAGTGCAACTTATAACATCCACGTGAAAGATATAACACCAACATGTCAGAACATAAAATAAAAAAACAGAATCACAGAGTTGGAAAAAGGATCACACCCCTCCTAAAAATGACTTAAAACTAAAAAAAAACTCAATCAGGTGTAGCTCATCGCCTTCTCAATGGCACACAAATCTATTTGACTTTCAAATGTGATCAGCTGTGCTCATTTTGATTAGCTCAGCATAAGCAAAGCAACAAAATGTGATTATTTTAAAGGGGGGTGATTCTTTTCTATATCCACTGTATAGTATACTAATTATCATTTATTATAACATGAATATTTAAATTATATTAAAAAATTACTATTATGAACTTTTATGTATATAATATTCAATATAATACTTAACATGATATTCAATAATATAATATGGTATAATTAAACATATATATCGTCATCTTCATCTATGTTTATTATATTCAATAATATTTACATATTATAATTATTACCATAATTATAACATGTTGTTAATTATATCCATAAATAAACATTCTTCATCTATTATTATGATTGTTCTGCAATATTTATATAATAATATTTTGTTTAAAATTTGCTCTAAATTTGGTAATTGTTTATATAAAATATTATAATTATTACTGTTATACATGAATGTTTTTAAATTAATAGTAATAATAATTTTTAATTATGTAATATTATGTAATATATAATACTGCTATATATGCAAAATAATTAACTAATAATAAATTATAATTATATTTAATTATATTGTATGATTAAACATTAATACATATATAGGCTAATTTTAATCATCATCATCACATTATTTTTATTATTATATTTAATAATATTGTATTATATTATAATTAATAATAATAATAATTAGTATTAGTATTCGTTTTCTATATTCAATAATATTTAGATAATCATATTAAAAAACAATATAATTAAAAAAAAATTATCATGATGATCATTTGATAATGATCCTAATTCAGTTGTGTAAAAATTAATGAGAAAAATTTGAGTACATGTTGTGATCATATTTTGATATTTTTGTCATGGGATTTCTGATGCAAAGAGAAAAGGGGTGTACTTTACTCTGTATACCTACTCTACCTTAATTGTGTGGATTTATTATTATTGACATCTGAAACGATAATTGAAATTACACATAAATGAGAGCTACATTAAGTTAATGAGCTATGAAAGATCAGCAACCTCTGAACAGCAAAACATTACTTGAGGCATCTGTGAGGAGAATTAGTAGACATTTTGACCAATGGAATGCTGCACAAAGACAAAGAGTCACAGTCAACATAATGTGCTTCACTCAAGTGTACTTAAATGTGTGCCCTTGTTCTGCCAAGATCGTGGCAGATAGGGATCAGGGCGGCTGAGACTTTGGGCCTTGATGGCGTAGATTAAAGTTTACTGTAATTACAGGCCCCAAGAGGAAACAAACAGGAAGACAATAACATGGCACCTCTTCCGTGATCTCGGCATGGTCTCAGAGTTATGGTGTGGGCACACACAGGGAGTCACCGCATTTATAGTCTCAAGCTTTTATCGTTTCTTTACTTGGGCCGGAGGAGATTCTCGCCAAGCGCACATCCAGGACTCGTCCGGCTCCAGCTTGGGAAATCCAGATGTTCAGCTTTAATTCTCCCCCTCCTCTTTTCCATCTCGGAGAGAGTGACACAAGCTGGATCCTTCCCAGTTTCCCAGGAAAGAGTCCCACACAGCAGCATGTGAATGTCTTCACAGTATCTCGGTTCCTGTGGGAAAAATGGGAAAGTCTGTCTGGGAGCAAAGAGTGAGACCTGGGTCAATGCAATAACAACAGCAGTAACAAATGCCCTGTTTGGAAAGAGACAGATATAATGCTGTTTAAATGGCACAGTTAACGCAATTTCAGCCTCAGTGTCCAAAATAAATAAGTTAGAGCCTATTTGTCTAGTTATGCATAGAAGGGCATGTTGTTTTAGCTGTTCTTGCAATGCTAAAGCAAGCATCACTGTTGGTTTTTCAATAGCCCTAACATTAAGTATTAATCTTCGCACAGAACTCAACACAGTTTGTGCTATGAACATGAATGATAGCCTACCTAAAATCAGCGACTAATCAGTGGCCGGTTGCATAAATGTAAAAACTAGTTTGACCAACTAGCTAGCCATGAAGTAGGCTAATCAGACTTAGTTTTTGGATTCAAATGAGACCATTCTCCCTTATTATAACTGACTTTAAAGAGTTATGACCAGTCTTAAAGAAAAAAAATGAGATGACTAACTTTAAAAATTAGATGACTAGCAACTGCATAGCAACCATCAAAAAAAAAAAACCCAGCAATCACTTAAAACACCATAGCAACCACCAGCAAACCATACCATCCGAGCAACTATTCTGAACATCATACCAACTGCATAGCAAACACCCAGAACACCCTAGCAACCGCATAGCAACCACTCAGAACACCATAACAACCGCATAGCAACACCCAAGCAACTACATTGCAACCACCCACCTGGAACACCCTAGCAACTGCATAGCAACCATCTAAAACACCCCAGCAATCACTTAATACACCATAGCAACCACCAACAAACCATACAATCCGAGCAACTATTCTGAACATCATACCAACTGCATAGCAAACACCCAGAACACCCTAGCAACCGCATAGCAACCACTCAGAACACCATAACAACCGCATAGCAACACCCAAGCAACTACATAGCAACCACCCACCCGGAACACCCTAGCAGCCACATAGCAACCACCCAAAATATCCTAGCAACAACTCAGTACATCATAACAGCCACTCAAAACACCATAACAACCACACAGGAACTAGCAACCACTCAAAACACTATTGTAACTGCAAAGCAACCCCCCAGAACACCCTAGTAACTGCACAGCAAGTTGGCAACCAATTAAAACACAATAGAAATTGCATACCAACCACCCAGAACACCATAGCAACTGCATAGTGATGCAAAGGCCACCAGCCACAACACCCAAACGTTTGTATCAGGTTTTTTCTTAAACATATGACACTGCTGTCTCTGAACTATATGTATGTTGTTCTACCACAGGGGTCAAGCTGAAGGTCAAGGTGAGATAAAGTAGAGAAGAAAGCAAAAGATACGATAAAGCCAAAATGAACCCCATACGCAAAGACATGGAGCTGCTGAGCAACACCATGGCTACATACGCCCATATAACAGGTATAAGAGCATTCAACACAAACAACTCATTACTGCCCAGGTTAAGAAATCAAGCAGTGTAAGACATATGGCTAAGCACTGTATATAGATTTGGGTTGGTTTTGTTGAACTTTGTGCCCCGTCACACTTCTGACCCCAAGAAAAAAATAACAACCCATTCCATGGACTTAAGTGTTCTGTTTGATTTGGCTTCACACTTCTGACTTCATGAGAAATGGCTTAAATGTTCCTAAAGACTTTTCTCTTTTTTTCTTCAGTGTCAAATCAGTCTAGAAAAAGCAAGAAATTTACTCGAAATTGCAACTTCAATTTACTAGAAATTTTGAAATGTGCGTGTATATATATATATATATACATACACACATACACACACTACTGCTCAAAAGCTTGGGGTCAGTAGTTTTTTTTTTTTTTTTATATTTTTTTCCAGCAAGGATGCATTCACTTGATCAAAGACAGTAAAAGCATCTATAATGTTACAAAAGATTTCTATTCCAAATAAATGTAATGGTTTTCTCAACATTGATAATAATAAGTAATGTTTCTAGAGCACCAGATCAACATAACAGAATGTTTTGTGAAGGATCATTAGAACAAAAAAACAGATATTTTAAATTAAAATAATATTAATATAATAATAATAATAATAAAATAATATAATACTGTTTTTACTGTATTTTTGATCAAAGCCTTTCTGAGCATAAAATACTTTTTTTCAAAAGCATTAAAAAAAAATCTCACTGACCCTGAAAAATACATTCTTTTAATACATTTAATATATTTATTAATATTATTTCTTTCTTTGATTCTGGGATAAAATATGACGTGGACATATTCTTGACAATTTTCCTTTCCTTTGAACACAGAGAACATGGAGAGCTTCGCACTGTACTTCATGTTGGGTGTGTGTTCAGGTCTTCTGCTGGCCCTGGTCCTCCTCATACTGGGCATCGCCTGCCGACTGCGTTCAAAAACAAAAACACCCTCCTCACCGGACAAGAGACGACTGAAAGAATCCAGCGAGGAGGAGGAAGACAAGGAAGACGACCAAAGTGAGGAAGGAGATGAGGAGGACCTAGAAGTCTCAGTGGTCACAGTGAGTCCCATGAGTGATCAGACCCAGTTGAACGGAACCATTAAGAGTGTGAACGTGTTTGCTTCAGCGGAGGAGCTGGAAAGAGCCAGGAGACTGGAGGAGAGAGAACGGATCGTCAGGGAGATCTGGAGGAACGGACAGCCGGATATACTTGTCACGGGCACAGGCACACTCGGACGAGTTCACTATCACTAGCAGTGTTTTATCTACTGGATGCAGTTGTTTCATGCAGATATGGAATGCCACGGGACATTTATCTGTGCAATAGATTTGGGTGTAATGTACCTTTAAAATGGTAAGGATTATAGACTCTTAAAAATAAGGCTTCCAAAGGAAGATTTTACAGTGATACCATCAAAGAACTTAAAACAACATTTTTTCCTTAATGTGAAGAACATTTTAATGATCTAAAGATTTTTTTTTCCCACACTAAGAACCTTTAGTGCAATGGAAAGTTTCCATGGATGTTAAAGGTTCTTCACTGAGCAACTGATGCCAGTACAGAACCTTTATTTTTTTAAGTTTAATTTTATCTGCATTATCTGTTTTCTGTCTTCTAAATGAGTAAGTTTTAATTAATCCATTTTTTTTTGCATTTTTTTATATCTATAAATACATTTTTAGCACTTCATGTTTGTATATATACTGTATGCATTTTCTTAATGAAAATAAAACAATTTTCACCCAATTCAGTCCATTATAAATAAAAAAGTGACAGTCGTGTCGAGAAGACACATTCCAAAGGAAGAGGCAGCCTTCACCTTCCATTAATGCCTGTTCACAATAAGAACGATAAGTATATTAGCGTCCACACCAAACTCACAGTAACGTTGTTTTTTATAAGCATGCACTGCAGTTATGTCGACTACCGCTTTAAAACAACTAGGAAAGAAATGTGTAGTTTTGCGACGTATATACAGTTGCTTTAAAGCAGGGGTCTCCAAACTGGGTCCTGGAGGGCAGGTGACCTGCAGTTTAGCTCCAACCCCAATCAAACACACCTGAACCAGCCAATCAAGGTCTTACTAGGTATACTCAAAGAGTACACTTGAAACTTCCAGACAGGTGTGTCGAGGCAAGTTAAACTCTACACTCTGAAGGACAGCGGCCCTCCAGGACCCAGTTTGGTGACCCCTGCTTTAAAGGCTTGAGATCTTTAAAGTCTAGTGGATTCTGATCTGATTGGGGATCCATGTTTTTATTGTTTATCAGCTGGGGAAAAATCATTATGAAAGTGATTCCAGAGTATTGCATTGTTATAGTAGTGTTGCCAACTTCCATATTCTCATATAACGATTTTTATAACTTTCTTTATTGTTATCATCATGTTAATCCACCTAGAACAGTAGTCGCCCAACAAAATGGATAATGTAGTCAAATTTACAGCTCAAATAACACATTTTACAGATAAGAAATAATAGGAGGCACAAAAAACATTTATGCTTTCAAACCCTCTATAATGATTTAGCCGTTTACTCTTAAAAATTCCCATTTAAATTTTTTGGCTTCCAATTCTATACGAAGCATCACGTTTGTTCTTTGCAAACGTAAAAATGAACAGAAAAACACAAATTAAGAGTCTTAAATGCACTTTACTTACTGCTTCTCATCTGTTGCTCTAAATCAAACGTGTCCAATCCTGCTTCTGGAGGGCCTCCTTCACACAGTTTAGCGCTAATCTGAATCACACACACCTGAACCTGCTAATCATGGTCTTCAGGATTACTAGAAGCAGGAGGATTGGACACTGAAACTTTTCAAATGTGCAAAAACACACAAACAGTCCAGTAGCAGTTCAAAGTAGTTAAGCAAAAAAATTATACAAATTGTGGATTTAACCATTAAACAGCTCACATCACATTGTGTAATCAGTACTACCTCTTCATAAAATCACTAAAAGGCTCCAGCTGTCGAGAGCAGCTGTTCCAACGATGTGTCTTACAAAGCCAATGCAACTCGAAACAAAAACAAAATGACGTGTACCAAACAGAAGACAGGTTTTATTTCAAATTCACCATGGAGACTGAAAGCACAGAGTTAACAGATTGTAAATGTTAACAGAACGTTGAGTCACAGCATTACAATAATGTCACAAAGCAGAAAAGAGAGCAGCCGAGTCCCCCAGTTACATCCTTACCGCACAGCGTACAGAGATCAATGGAAGAAAAACCACATGATCTAAACATGCAGCATGAACTATTTTACAATTTGTTTTGATAAACACAATAATGCAATAAATGCATCAAAAGCTTTATCTTGCATGTTCTATTATCTACACTTTAAAATCTGATGAATGAGCTAAAACGTGACAATTTTTTTTTTTGCTCAAAATAGAAAAAAAATACAATAAAAAATCAGTTTTACGCTTCACAAAGTGGACAATTTTTTTGTCATTAGTGGCATAATGTAAGGGAAGAAAATGAGTTAAATTGGATGTTAAATATAGCTGAGAACCAATTGGTTAGAAAGAATGAATCTGTACATTTTTAACAGACAATTTTATGGAGAAAATCGGCCCAGTACAGTGTATTGGTCCACAAGGGATATGCACCAATGAGACTGAACCGTACACCAAAAGGGAAGAAATTTAAAAGATTGCAGCATGTATGAAATAATTAACATGCAATTCCAAAAAAAGGGGGGGAAACTACTGGGAAAATCCCAAAAAAAGTAAAAAAGGAATCATAAAACTAGTTAAATCTAAGGCACAAGTGCACAGATTTATTGCACTTTTTAAATGAAAATGAATTAATTTCAGCCACCAGATGGCTGAATTTATATTTTCAATCACCCCCAACAAACCCTGAAAATAAACGAAAAAATACAAAAATAAAAAAATAATAATAGCAGATGGTTTGTTGCTATAAATGACATGGCTCTACCGTTAGGGGCTTTACAGTCCAACATCTGAACACACAAGGATGCATTTCTCACAAGGGCTCTCGTTGAGCTAGAGACAGTACAGAAGAACAGACACTAATGATGTGAATCAGTCTATGGCTTGGAAGCAGTGTTTTCCCCAGACTTGTCGTCTTTGTGCTCTGCACCTCCATCTTCCATGTCTCGCTCTTCAGCATTGCCCTGGAACATGTCGTGGGTCCACTTGGGGCTGCCACTGCTCTTGCGAATCATGAGGGTGCCCCTGCCGCGTGGGTAATTCCCTCTGCCGCGCCCCCGAGTGTCCACCCACTTCATCTCCCCTTCCTTGTCCCGGTCATCATGCTGCAGTTGAATGAGAGAGATGTATATTTAAACTCTCCTACTAGCCACTATGCAGCTTATACTGTCCCAAAATTGCTAATTTATACAGGAAGAGACTGTCTGAGTGACATGCGAAGCCACCAACCACCAGTTTTTGTTTTTAACGTGACATTTACGGGGGCGCGTGCGTATCGAAGATCAATGTTAGCACACCTGGAAGTATTTTCGACTCTTGGGGGTGTATTCGGGGTCCCACTCCTCGTCCGGGGGCCGTGAGGGGCCGCCCATATTGGGAGGGTTGTTATTGGTATTGGTGCCTGGGTAATTTCCCCGGTTCCATCCTCTTCCTCTCATTCTCGGCTGCAAAGAACAAATACAAGGGAAAAGCATATCAACTGAGAATCGAGGAGAAACATCTGAGATATATGAGAGACCTAATTCAAGACACAAATATAAAAGCGCCAACGTGGACGGAATGGTGGAAAACAGTCGTAAAAATAGAATTTACTTTATAATGTGAAATATCATGGAACTTGGCAAATTTTGGATGAATAAACCATCCATCTGTGAACTTCATCTTCAGAGCTGCTCTGAGAGTTCATTTTACCAGCATTTCTCCATTTCATTTGATAAAAACGATCGTCAGATACCCACTGAAACTCAAAAGTCTTTACTTTCAAACCCAAAACAAAAAATTTGAGAACACACTTCTCAAAGTAATAATATTAATAATAATAATAATAAACAATGTATTAGAGCATTTTTAATATCACAATTTTTCCATGTTTTAATTTAAACCGTAAACCTGAATTGTCAAATTTTCATTTTATTTAATTTTAAAATATTACATGGTTCACATTTATTTAATTTCCATTACTTTTGATAATAAATTTGTATTAAATCATGAAACAAAATCCAGAATATTTTTTTATTATTATTGCTAAAATGATTAAATAATTAAATTAAATAAATATTTTTTGTAATTGAAGTTTTATAAATTCAATAAATTCAAAGACATGCTTCTTGATTTTTTTAAACTTGAACTATTAAAACTAAATTGGTGAAAAAACCAAACCCTAATAAGCTGCACACCTAGATACCTTTGAAGACTTTTTTTTTTGTAGCTTAGCATTTTGTGCATGTTACTAAGCTAACTTAAATAAGCCTACACTGAAATGTTGTTTCGTTGAAATGTTGTCACTTCGGAGACTCCATTTCAGTTAGGATTGGGAACAAAGTCATAGAGGAACAAAGTTTGACATTAATCAGTGATAAATACATAAAGAAACAAATTCCATCTGTATCTCATTAATGATCAATAGGTCAATGTCACAGAGAACTGTAGGATACTTACAAATCCCCGATCGTATCCCCCATGACCTCGGTCATATCCTCCTCTGTCATATCCTCCTCGGCCCCTCTCATAACCCCTGTCCATGTGGCCCTCATAGTCCCGGGGGCCGCGATCCATGGGCCCTGGGTAATCCCTTGACCCCAGACGGGCTTTGTTAAAACCCCCTCCTCCCTCCATGTGCTCCTCCGGATGGTACTCTTTCACTCTGTACGCACGAGGGGAGGGAGAGGAGGAGGAAGATGAGGAGGAGGGAGAGCGGTCTCGCTTCTTTTTGCTTTTCCTTTAGAAAAAGAGAGAACAGAGTTGAAAAAAAAAAAGTTAAAAAGTAAAGTTAGATTAAGGTTTTAGGCTGTGCTTTTGTGTAAATTAAATTAAACATCAGAGCCACTTTGCCATCTGTGGGAGCTGTATGAGAATAAACCCACAATGTAACACCATCTTTGCACTATTACGTTAAACAGAAGGAAAAACTGTGATGTGACACTGTGGCCTGTTTGATTTTGAATAGTGAGCTTCATATTAAGAAAAACCGATCTGCACCTGTACAAAGTTGAAAATAAATAAATAAATAGCCCACATAAGACTGAAATTATCTACAAAATGTAAATTTGAATCTGTACATTTGGCTGAATTTGAATTAGAACATTAGAAGAATCATATAATTACAGGAATTTGAATTATGCTACATTTAAAATATAAAGTTTAAAAAAATAATACAGTGCTTCCTCCCAAACACTAACTACGTAAAGCGTTTTATGAATAAAGTGTTCCACTATAAATGAAAACTGGTAAGTTAAATCAACATTGAATCATCAAATCATTATAGTCTAGAACAGGGTTCCTCAAATCTTGCCCTGGAGGGCCAATG